AAAGCCATCATAGGAGAGGATGGGTGGAGGATTGTTGCTTTTTCCGCAGTACCAGTGCGGACTGCGATCACGCGCTAGTACAGGCTCCTGTATCTCTGCACTTTACTGGTTGCAGGAAACAGGTGATAGTAAAGCCTGTTATTTGGTCGATTGGCAGAAGGTCAAGTACACATTCAGAGAAGAGTTAGTTAACCATGTATCTGAACATGGTAACAATGCACATACTCATCTTAATTAAAGTACTAGGTAGTTTATAGAAATCAGAGGTAGTGCCGTTAGACTGATGTGCTTCACTGATCATCCCAGTCTATGAGAAGAGGAGAAATCTTCTTGTGACAACCATAGCGGAACTAGTTTGAGTAATATTGTGTCGAAGATCCTGCGTTTCATAGTTATCCAGTGCCCAATTGGAGCTGGAAAACTGCACTCTTGAGGAAACCAGTGTCCATTAATCATATTTTCACCCTTCGACAGGTTATTTAACACAGACTTACCTACCAAGCAGTGACCGATACTTGCCGTATTTATTGACCTAAAGGCGGCGGTATTTCACTGAGTCAACCGTGAGGTGTTGTGGCATTCTGATTGTGAAGAGAGAATCGGGCAAGTTTATAACACTAATCATAGCTCTCTATTCGAACTCATGCAGCTTTGTAAGGGCTTATGGAGAGTTGTCATGTGAGTTTACAACAACCAGTAGTGCCTGCCAGGGATTCCTGCTGTCACCGTCCCTACTTAACTTCGTCATAGACTAACTAATGGACAGAAACTTATGTACATCTGACTTCACCTGGGTTGACCTCCTCACTGGATGTCATCTGGTTGACTAGAAGTATGCAGAGGACATTGTCCTGTTGAGTGAAGACGGTGACGAAATGCAGGGTCTTGTCAACGCGTTGACCAGGTATCTGAGTATGTTTGGCAAACGTTCCACAAGCACTTGTCAAATGTAAGATGATATTCCAGGACAGGTCTGCTGCAATCACTTCCTGTTTATTGATATGGAGTGAAGTGGTGGAATTTGTCGACCACTTCACTTACTCGGGGAGTTGCATCAGCGCAAATGTGGTGGTTGTTGACGAAATCTCAGTTCCGATACAGAAGGGCCGTTCAGTACTTGCTAACTTGCGTCATGTGTGGTGCCAACTGGTGAGATATCCGACTACCTATTACAGGAAATGTATACTGCACTGCACTTCGTTCTGTCTTGTTGTACGGCTGTGAGAAGTGGTCGTTGAAAGTAGAAGACATGAATTGGTTACATGGTTTTGATCATTAGTGTCTTCGTAGCATTGGTCGCACTCGGTGGAGTCATCGTGCGAGCAATGTTGAGGTCAGGTGAAGGATACTAGACAAGATAGGCAAGTCGATTGATGAGGTTGTGAACTCTCATCGACTGAGATGGTTTGGACATGTACTGCGCATGTCGAACCACCACCTGCCTCGATGTGCCATGTTACGGGGAGTTGGATTAGGTTAGAAGAGGGTTCAGGGTGGCCAGACGAAGACATGACACCAGTCGATGAAATCCCTAACTATTGATGTGAGCCACGTATGCAGATGTAGACTACCAGACCTGGGGTCCCTGAGACGAAACGAATCCGTGGTTGAAAACTCTTCGTGACATAGTTGAAAATCGGTTGCAGTGGCGCAGTGGTATTCACTCCTTGACATCTTCTAAGGCTTGGATATTTGCACTAACCTCTATCTTCAAATTGTTTATTCTCTCACACAACTTTGTCTACTTTGATGTCACTCTTTTTCTATCCACTCATTTTTTGTATACAGTAGTGAAGTGTGGTAATGTGAGCCGATGCACCTGTGTGCGAGGTTGTGCGTTGATTTTGTCAGTTGGTGTCAGTGTTTTGTTTCTGTAATCTAAGGAGATGCTCTGTACTAATTTATAAGCCTTGAATATCATTGGTACTAAGTTCTTTCTTCCCACTGGGTTTTGTACGGGCTGGTGATTCACCACATAACGAACAGATTTGCAAGATTTTTCTACTTTTAAAATCGAAGAATTAGTGACGGTTGAACTACATCAGTGAAGTTTGGAAGTCATATGATTTGTTTGATGTGAATATGAGCGATAAATTCTTCCCGAAAGACCATCCAGTAAATCATACTGTATCACTTGTTTAGTATGTCAAAGAAACAATCTGTCACGGAATTAGTGAGTGGGCTTGCATTTCAAAAACATCCAATGGGCTACGCTAGTTGGAGGGATTGTTCCTTGAGGTCCTGTTGTGTCAAAAGGTCTGTCATCATTATCAACCTTCCACACTTTCAACCGCTGATCTTTCCTTCATCTTTCTGTGAATAATACTACGTTAAATCTACTTTCTTCTAGCTCTAAGCCCTTGATGAGAATTTAGCACTGGTCTCCTGAAACCGTGTTCTAGAACCCGGTGGAGTGAATTTCTGGTCGATATATCCACGGCCAGTTCTGAAACCTGCTTGATTTTCTCATGCTTGCTATCCCTGAGCTCCTCTCAGACGTCTAATGATTATAGAGGCGACGACCTTGGACATTATGTTAGATTGATTCCTCAGTGGTCATCACGATAAGACTTCTCTCCTTTCTTGAAAACTGGTACAATCGGTGTTTGAGACCAGTTAGAGGGGATAATATCTGACTCCCATACAATAGCTAAGACTCCATTTATTTTGACCAATAATCCTCTACCATCGTCCTTGAATACCTGTTGGACGAGTCCGCCTGGCTCTGTTGCTCTTCCTCGTTACAGGTTACCTACCTATAGCTCTTCCGACTTCTGCAAGTGTTGGATTTTTAATCCCAATGTTCCATTCAGGCTCCGTCTGGATAACGAACAATGAAACATTAGTTGGAAGCCCATTTAACTTTTTCTTGAGGTGTTACGATTGTTTCAGTCGTCTTCCTTGCGAGTGAATCGCAGACCCATCCTTCTCCTTTATCGTCTCACTAACCATTGACGTTTTCGCCTCAGTTTCCTTAGTAAGTCTCAACGACTGCCTGCTGTTACCTGTCATAGCTATCTTTTCCACCCCTTTAGCTTTCGCTGACCATCGCTGTTCGCGATGATTGCATAGGCTTTTTGTCAGTTTATGTTTGAGTTGCATTCACACTTCATTGTATTCAGAGACCACAGAGATGCGTTCGCGTGGATCTATTAATCTAGAAGAAGCGACTGAAAAAAGTGTTGTGTAGCCTCTAGAATCCTTACTCGTGATGTATTTATTTGACTGCAGTTGATTTGTTACTGAGTCAACTAGTCAGTCGACATCAGACGGAACCCAGGATCACTGTGTAACGTCTCACATTGCACCACCAAACAAAGGTATATCAAAAGGAATATTTAGTGATATTGCTTGTATCATACCGTCGTCGACTGGACCGAATCGATAGGTCTCAATTGGCATATGAGCTCCTGCACGGATGCCTCGATATATTGCCTGTGTTTCTAATTATATGGTAAGAATGGATAGTGGCTAGAAGCGGTCCAGAGTTCGAATCTCGGCAGGAACGACATCGGTCACTGAGAGGCAGGTACATCTATACAGCTAACGAGTCCCAAATACGACGAAATGCGCATCCTGGATTCCACTGCTAGCCACCAACCATTATTATTATTATTATGAAAGAATTATTTGCTTAAAACTGACCATATACTGCAAGCTCATATATGACAAAACTACGTTCCGAATCATTTAAACAGCGAAGCGATTTGCTGATGCCTAAATAAGTAATTCCGTAAATAAACTAGTGAAAATAATAATACAGAATGAGTATAAGCAGAAAACCTTGTATGATAAACTAGTTCACTAGTAACTAGCCGGTCCTAAACCCGGATAAAGAGAGGAGGTTGGGCATACGGCTAGCAACCCTAACCCCCAAAACCAATCCAACTGCTACAGAAACTTCAAAGCACAAAGAAATTATAAATAAGAAAAACAAACTTATTCCTCACTGGAATCCAAGAGACGAAAGGACGCTGGTTGGTGAAGGCCTTCTGGAAGCCAGTTGGCCGATGTGTCTTCTATCCTCTCAATGAAAGCGAAAGTAAACGTGGGAACATGGAATGTCCGCACCATGTATGAACCAACCAATGCTGCACAGATTGCAAAAGAGATGAAGAGGTATGGCATGGAAGTGCTTGGAATCTTCAAAAGCAGATGCAATGGAAGTGGACTCTCCAAAATGTCAACTGCAGAGTCAATAATCTACTCCGATATTGTCACTCAGACAACAACCACAAGCACACTGAGTTCTGGAGTGGTTATCATGATGTCTCCAAGAACATCGAAGGCTCTCTCTCATGTAGTGGGAAACAGTCTCCTCCAGCATCAGGATTATGACAGCAAGATTCAACTCAAAACGAAGGAAAGTCACAATAATTCAATCCTACATGCCAACAAATAATGCAGATCAAGAGAAGAAGGAGGAATTCTATAAACAACTTCAATCAGTAATGGACAAGACCCCACTCTAGTAGACGACATCAAAATTCTAATGAGCGACACGAATGACAAACTCGGAGCGGACAACACAGAAAGAGAACTCATCATGGGTCGAGAAGCACTCGGTGAAATGAATGAATGAGAATCGAGAACTGTTTGCAGATTTCTGGTGATTGGAGACAGTGTGTACAAACACAAGCATATTCACAAAGCGACACAGACTTCACCAGATGAACACACTACACTAAAATCAAATCGATTTCATACAATCTCAAGAAAAAGGAGACGCAGCATACTGAACACAAGGTCACGAAGCGGAGCATATGAGGGTAGATTCAGACCACTCACTATCCAGTGCAAGGAACATTCAAATTAAATAAATAATTTGATTTGCATTACTTCATCCGAGGTTTCAGTATTTGATAATGAGCTGCGCACTTTTTAAATTTAATTTTATTTCGTTCACGGTATACTTAAGTAACAATTATTTTTGTGCATTTAATTTTCATCTATTTAAGTGATTTGTCATACTAATGTATTCATTTAAATTTGTTGAGTAGGTTGTGCAAACCTTAGTTGCACCCTGCAATAAGGCTCAGTTAACACGAAACTGTCAGAATGTTATTCATGATTGTGGTCTACTTGGAAAGCTATGTAATATTGTCATGGTTAATGGCGTCCCAGCAGATGTCCTAACGAAAGCAATTTATGCCTTAGCAGATTCAATACGTGGATGTCCACAAAATCAAGACTACTTGGCTAAATTGGTTGCACCATCTGATCCACCTCAATCTGCTATCAATGTGCTGCTCATATCTATGGTGAACAAGCATCAATCCGTATTGGTGCGTGAGGCTGTACTATACTGCTTTCAGTGTTATTTAGCCTCTAATCATGAAGCGCAAAATGCCATTGTTATGACGTTACTGCCTAAACCTGGTGATGGTATGTACAGTTAAGCTTTTAGTCCTCCACGTTTTTTTACCATTGAAGACCTTCGAAACTTTTATATTCGGGTTGTATGACCTTCAAGAGACGAAATTGCTAACTTCATTTGCGTTTATTTAAAACTTGCAACTAATATAGGGAAGACAGAATTCAGTGGATTCATATATTTGGACAGTAACTTGTTAGCTAAATATTCTGAATATATAACGAAAGAGTCATCACAGCTGCCAAAAAGCTGACTTACATCACTTTTAAATTCATGAGTGATAATATGGACAAGGTTTAGTCTTCAAAACAGTTTTATAAGATATTTTCACGGAATATGCTACTCACAGAATATTCCAGTAATTAAATAAACCACTGAACAAAATTGAGTAGTTAAAAACAACTTACACGTATCTATAGACTTCGCTAGCCAAATCAGCATGATTGTTTTCTAAATATTCATACTGTTCAGTACTATGTTTCGTTAGTTAATGGAAATTTTGTTTCAGAAATCACATTTTATGTTTTTAGCGTATTGTTTTCCTAGGGCAACTGACATAACAGTCGGGCAATTGAAAAAAATAATCAGCTGTGAGAAATAGCAGTATAGACTGTAAAGTTTGTTATTAATTTTCGATATTAACATTGATAAAACAAGTAAGTTCGAAGTAAAGGAATAGTCTTCAAATTGTCATCATACTCAACCTCCATTTTGAATTTTTCGCATGATGTACGTGCGTAGAACACAGTAAGTGTACATCTATTGGAACCTTGACTCAATTTCATTTTAATTTAGTATTGATTTCATAACTTTATACCCTTCCCACGTGGAGATCTATTTCTATTTACAGTTTGACAACTTAGTCATTGCGTAAGGTCGTTCCTGCATGTAAATACAAAGGTTTACATTAATTTTTATTTTAACCTTAGTTGTAATAAATGCATAGTTTTATCACATTGTACAAAAAATTATATTTCTAGGTTGAATATAACGAGACTTTAACAAAAGTGAACTGTGTCTGAAGACTTCGAAAAACTTTAAAAGGATATTAAAAGTGCCTATAGGGTAAATTAGTGCGAACATTTCTGTTTTCAGTTACACCCTCTTCGGGTTTTCTTCTAATTTGCATAACCCTGTATATGCATATGAATATACACAACAAAGCAATCTTTGTGATGTCAGTCATTAATAGCTAGGATGTAGACTGTGCATTTGATAATCAAAACAATAATAATGGTGATTAAGTAGAGATAAGTACAGTGATTATACCAATGGTTGTTAGAACAGTCACAGAAGATCAGAGTTTAGAAAATACTGGGTTGAAAATGATAAAAGTGAAGTTATTTTTTAAGCCTTTGTTAAGAAAAGGATAAACGCTAAGCTGATGTTTTTGTATTCAACAGCTAGAGCTATTAGCTTGAGTTCTTGTAGCTGTAGAAGCCGAGTTAAAACTCTTTGGGTGGCATGGAATAAATATATTTGAATACTTTAGTTCTGTCTACCGGATAATCCACTGGCAGTCAAGCTCTGCGTCAAATTGACTTATCTGTGATGTAGACGTAAAGAGAATATTTAGAAAAAAGTTAATCTCACAAAGTTGAAGGACTAAAAGCGGATTTCTGGCTGTTACTAAACGTATTAATATGGAGGGTTCAAGTAGGTGAGTTATAAAACACTTATTCCAGGCATGTATGTCCTCGAAGATCTGGGAGAAGTGAGTGGCATATGCGTTGGCAGTCATGAGGATGCAAATTCTAACATTCATTTGCTGCCTTTAGGTTAGGTTAGGTTAAGAAGTTCCTTAGGATAACCTTTTGGTTCACTCTGGACACTTGCATAGTATTTCAGCTCCCATGCCAGTCATGAAAAAACATTTTACATCAAATATTGCAAAGCTCTTGCATACTGCATTTCTTGATTTCTATGCTGTACCGAGTTTGTGCTTATCGTAAGTAAATAAGCATGTAGAATATCGCGAAAATAAGTGTAGTGGGCGTTGCTGATAAGAATGAATATAAGTTGTATATGTTGAGAGGGTGGCAGAAATCATTGGGAATTACCAGCAATGGGTAGGGATTCCGCAAAGAGAAACGCAATAGACAAGGCAGGCGTATGAAGAGCAAATCAGGAAAGAGGCGGAAGAGGAAATGAAGTATATTTTGCAAATGACGGTTTTCGTGCAAGGTGTACCACATTTAACGACTACTGTCCCACTTGTTGACAATGAACATTCCTTCCTGCATATCTGTCTTTTGCTTCTTTCAATTAGTGTCGCTGCTTCTGGACGTGATGAAGATTCTGTGGCCTGCAGAGTTCGAGGATGGAGACCTCAAGGTCTTTCTCAGGGACTTCGAGTCGGTCGCGGAGCTGGTAGGTGTCCGGGATCCAGGAGCAAAGGTGGTGGTACTTGGCTCGTTGTTGAGGGGTAGGGCGAAAGCAGCGTATGACGGCATGGAACATGGAGAGGGGAAGGGGACTTGGCAGAAAATGGTTAAACGACTGGAAGCGGAGTTCGTTAGCCCTGCAGACAGGGAGCTGGCGATGCAGCAGTTCCGGAGCACGAATCTTGGAATGGATGAAGATTTGCTGGTATTGGCTGTGAAGTCGACTAAACTACTTCGATTAGCACTTCCCACGTTGGATGAATACTCACAGGAGCAATTGCTGGCTGCACAGTTCACCGAAAGAGTCCCGAATGCCATCGCCCAGCAGCTACTACTAGTCAACGCGGCCCAACCCATGGATATTAGTGAGATGGCCAAGGTGACCAGACAGCTGATGGGTACAGCAGTAGCTGCGGTGGAGTCACCAGAAGTAAGTAACTGGAAAAAACAAATCGACATCCTTCAGGAAGAGGTGGCTGCACTTCGAATGAACATCAACAGACAGAGTGAATGCTTTGCATGCGGAAAACCTGGACACTGGCGAAGAAATTGTCCGGAGAGGCGAAAAAGATAACGTTTTGAGCGATATAATATGAGTTCTGTTTTCCCGACTAGACTAGATATTGTAGAAGCCATAGATCGAGGTGCTGTGTATACTAGAAATTGAATAAATGATCGAGGAGATCGTGTGTCTAATGGATACGGGGGTGGCATTCTTGCTGATGAATAAGAGTCAGTCCCAGAACATAAGACCATGTGCGCTAGCGGTCCACAAAGTTGGGGGACATGCATTAGAAATCGTAGGCTTATCAGATTGCGTCGTCGAGATCGGAAGTCGGAAAATTAGATTTCCATTCAATGTGACCACGCGTCTACAACGGCCAATCCTAGATGCTGATTTTCTGAGAGAAGTGGGTGCAGTTATTAACACGAGAACAGGAATAGTGGCGACGAAGTACGGGTCGTTCACCACGCAGGAAAACAGTGAGGTAGCAAAAATTGGGGTGAGGTATCAAGAGGACCACACCCAGAAGCGTCAAACATTATGAAGTTGGTTAAGAAATACGGCAGATTGTTCATGGGAGATGGAGACCTCTACGGATACTGTGACAAGGTTCAGCATAAAATCCCAGTGACAAGTCAGGCAATGACAACACTTATAACACGGTGAATACCATGTCACTTGGAAGGAGTTGGATGCCAGGTTCAGGAAATGCTAACGAAAGAAGTATTATGGAGGCTGATAGCTCATACAGTTGGCCAATGCTTTTGGTAAGAAAGTCCAATAGGAAATATAGATCCTGCGTTGATTTCCGAGAGTTAAATATCATGAGGCAACTGAAGACGTGTGCCATGCCTACGGTAGCTGAAACACTGGGTCGTTTGCAAAATGCAAAAATATATACAGTTCTGGACCTCCGCTCACGCTACTTACTGGCAGCTACCAACAAAACAAGACGATACACAGAAAACAGCATTTATTGAGGGCAAGCAGCAATACCAATTGAAACGAATGCCATTTGGTCTGGCAGGCACGCCACATTTAGAAGGTTGATGATTTTGTTGTTGAAGAATTAAGAAAACGTGTACGGTGAAGCTGATAGCGTAGAGAAAGATGATGAAGCAGAAGATGAACCAGTGCAAGGATGCACAACAAAAAGAAGAACTGGGTACAACGTATAAAACACTACACTGGACAAAGAAGTGAAGAAGAGTGGACGCAAAGACAAAAGACACTTCTACGACACATTGGCAAGTGAAGCAGAACAGGCTGCTGGTAGGAGAGACCTGACAACATTATATCAAATAACCAGGTCACTATCCGGGAAGAGATCAACTCAGATGAAACCAATGAAAGCTAGTTACCATAGAGGAGAAACAAAGGAAATGATGGGCCGACCACTTCAAAAAGCTCTTGAATCGACCACCACCAACACCTGGAACTCGTCCAGAAATACCACTAGCAACCGCAGAACTACTACCAGTGAGCACAAGCCCTCCGACAAAAGCGAAAGTCCTGAATGCCATAAAGTTGTTGAAATTCCGGAAAGCAGCAGGAGAGATGGAATTCTTTCAGTAGCACTGGAAACAGACGCAGAGACAACAGAGGACATGCTCACACCACTACTGCAGAAGGTTTGCGAGGAAGGAAGGAAAGGCACCTGCTGGTTGATTGGAAGAAGGGCTACCTTGTCAAACTCCCAAAGAAGGGAGACCTAAGCCTTTGCAAGAACTCGCGAGGAATCATGCTGCTGTCCCTGTCCACCCTAAACAAGCAAAATATTATGCCGCATCATCCTGGAGACACTAAAAGATGCGCCGGTTTCAAAATTACGACCGGAACAGGCTGGATTCAGAAAGCACAAATCATGTGTGGATCAAATCGCAACGCTACACATTATTATTGAATAGAGTATAGAATGGCAGTCAACTCTCTACCTCAACTTTATCGACTTTGAAAAGGCTTTCGACAGCGTCAACCCAGAAGTAATTTGGCAGACAGTTGCTTCAACACTACAGAGTGCCACAAATCTTTATAAACCTCATTCAACAGCTATATGAAAACGCCACATACCAAGTGAGCTACAATGGAAAGCTCAGTAAAGTGAAGAAAGGATTAAGACAAGACTGCCGACTGCAAATCAGGAAGAGGAAATGAAGTATATTTTGCAAATGACGGTTTTCGTGCAAGGTGTACCACATTTAACGACTACTGTCCCACTTGTTGACAATGAACTTTCCTTCCTGCATATCTGTCTTTTGCTTCTTTCAGAAATACCAAGGGCATTGCCTTCTGTTATGCACTTGTAGCAGCTAATCAGAAGTAGTGGAAGTGGACCACCGCGGTGATCTAAACTAGTTTTCATCAATAGAGATTACGATCGCTCATAAGCTCTTAAGTGATTATCTAGCGATTCTTAATAACGTGACATTTTTGTTCTGTCTATAACTTCTCGATTGGAAAGGCAAGTACCGCTTTCTGTTTGTGAAAAATGCACACTTTAACTCTGATAGAAGTGTCTGTTTCTTAGCATGACGATGGCTAAATAAGCGGTGAGTATTTGCTTGTTCAAGTCCTAAAACTGCTTAAATTTTCCCCATTTTATGTAGTTAGTCATTGGAAAATGTAGGCTATCATTTTCGATAATATGTTAGTCAATCTGTCTCCCATAGTTACTGGAAGTGGATTGCCATCCCTTTCTAGAAAATAAAGAATTCAAGTATGGTGACTGGTTTAATGGGAACTATGTTCATGTCACACACATCCATCACTGTCAGGTAGTCAGTTTTGATTATGAACCTCAACTAGTACATGAAATGTTTGCATATTAATGGCAGTTTTGTGCAGTGCCACATAAAATACTGATATGTTTTAACCGTTCTCTTCATCTAATGCCTTTACATATGTCACTAATGTGTTTTTACTTACTCAGAACTTCTTTCTCGTGTGAAAATAATTACTTGTGTTTACCTCTAGTTCCACAGAATACTGTTAGTGCTGGCCAGTTACTATGTGGAGGATTATTTTCCAATGATTCATCAACTTGGTTCTGTGCTATAGCCCTTCTTCACTGTATTCATGATAATGTTCGTCTTAAAGAGGAACTATTGCGTGTACATTTAACTCCAAATGAAGGAGTTGGTCCTGTTACTCTATTTCATCAATGTTTCATTTGGCAACAACAGGTTAGTAGTTAATAATAATGTTTTCATTTTTTTCTTCTTCATCTTTTACTTTGCATAGAGATGATCTTGACTATGTTATAGCATCAATACATTAACATTTATGATCGAAATGTCAACGTAGAGAGTTTATGATCTGTTGGCTATGTGAGCATGTGATAAATACTTTAAAAATGTAATTTTATACGACTCGTATTTCCTAAATAGGATATTTTTTCATCTGGACATCTTGTTTTCACAGTGCTGCAATAAACATTTCATTCTAAGGAAATTCAAAAACATCTTTAGATTCCTTCATAAACGTTGTCCATCAGCTTGAAACCAGAGTCGGATTGTTATTTCAGTGTTAAGCACAAATGTGAGGTGAGTACAGCATAATAAAACAAGAAAAAAGATTCAAAAGTAATGTTACTACTAATGTATTAGGAAATGTGAAACGGATTGAAAAATTGTATACCCCCTGCTTCGCAACCACCCTGGCAACTGGTAACGAGAATAAACCACTGGCTAGAGATCATAGGTAGGTAAAATTGCACTGGATCAAACGCAATGGTGTCTGTGCATTGAGTCGTTGTTTTCTTCAGATTGTTGAATTCTATTGAAAAATCTTTTGAGAAGGGAATTTATTTCAATGTTGGAGGCAAATGAAATATGAAAAACAAGTATGACTTCATACTGAAGTTAGTGCTGGTGATGTCATCTAGAAGGACGATGAAAGCTTCACGATTAAACAACCTATCTCAGAGAATACAATACAACAATAAAAAATAAGTTCTGATGCTTTGACACCATCGCCCACTACCAGTCAGTGCTACTGTAAATTTTCTATCTATCATTATTATTATTATTATTACTATTACTTTTGCCTTAGGGTTCCTAGTGGAACATAGGGCTTCAGTAGCACGTCTCCATTGCACTCTCTTCTCTGCAGTCTTTTCAACCTGGCACCACGACTGCCCACAAGCTTTCATTTCTTCCTCATATACCATCTCCTCCATGTCATCCTCAGTTGGGACGCCCAACTCGTCGTTTCCCCTCTGGATTCCACTCGACGAACTGGCCTGGCACGTGATGTTCCCAATCGGCCTTCTCAGTGTATACCCAATACAATCCATCTCCACTTTCTTCTGCATATTTGTTGGGTGATAGGTTCCTGGTTGGTTCGTTGCCCGACCAGTGTGAGTTTCTTCTTGATATCGAGTGAGTGTAGGTGGCAGCTGTTCATGAATGTCTGTAGTTTGTTGGAAGTGCTTTTCGTAACACGCCAAGTTTCTACACCATCACATAGAAGCACTGACTTGACTGAGTTGGTGTTAAAAATCCGGATCTTGTTCACGCTTTGTGCTGAGTGCAGTGCAGTAGATCTCCACAGTGATTTCGGATTAATGAAAGCCTGTCTTGCTGTCTTCCCGATCCTGGTTTTGACATCCTCGTCTTTGTCTGTGCCGCCTGTAGTTGAAACGATGCTACCCTGCCTAGATAGGTGTAGGTGAAAGAGACTACTTCCTTTAGGCTTCTCCCGTTCATGGTGATTGATGCCTCTTGTTTTTGATGCTGTTGTTGGTTGGGTATCTTCATCACCTCTGTCTTCTCTACATCCACTTGAAGTCCCGTTTTCGCTGCCCTGCCTCTTCTATCATCTTGTTAGTTTTCGCCAACAGATCTTTGAGTTTGTGCCACAAGACATTAGGCATAACTCATCATCAGCGAAATCCAAATCTCCTAGGCTCTTTTCATCAGTCCAGCCAGCGTATACCCACTTCTCGCTCATCACGGTTTGCTGCATGATCCAGTCCAGTCTAGTCCAGTCGACCACAATCAGGTAGATGGTCGGTGTGATAGTAGACGGTAGTCTTGTCTTAATCCTTTCTTCACTTTACTGAGCTTTCCATTGTGGCTCACTTGGTATGTGGCGTTTCATATAGCTGTTGAATGAGGTTTATAAAGATTTGTGGCACTCTGTAGTGTTGAAGCAACTGTCTGCCAAATTACTTCTGGGTTGACGCTGTCGAAAGCCTTTTCAAAGTCGATAAAGTTGAGGTAGAGAGTTGACTGCCATTCTATACTCTATTCAATAATAATGTGTAGCGTTGCGATTTGATCCACACATGATTTGTGCTTTCTGAATCCAGCCTGTTCCGGTCGTAATTTTGAAACCGGCGCATCTTTTAGTGTCTCCAGGATGATGCGGCATAATATTTTGCTTGTTTAGGGTGGACAGGGACAGCAGCATGATTCCTCGCGAGTTCTTGCAAAGGCTTAGGTCTCCCTTCTTTGGGAGTTTGACAAGGTAGCCCTTCTTCCAATCAACCAGCAGGTGCCTTTCCTTCCTTCCTCGCAAACCTTCTGCAGTAGTGGTGTGAGCATGTCCTCTGTTGTCTCTGCGTCTGTTTCCAGTGCTACTGAAAGAATTCCATCTCTCCTGCTGCTTTCCGGAATTTCAACAACTTTATGGCATTCAGGACTTTCGCTTTTGTCGGAGGGCTTGTGCTCACTGGTAGTAGTTCTGCGGTTGCTAGTGGTATTTCTGGACGAGTTCCAGGTGTTGGTGGTGGTCGATTCAAGAGCTTTTTGAAGTGGTCGGCCCATCATTTCCTTTGTTTCTCCTCTATGGTAACTAGCTTTCATTGGTTTCATCTGAGTTGATCTCTTCCCGGATAGTGGCCTGGTTATTTGATATAATGTTGTCAGGTCTCTCCTACCAGCAGCCTGTTCTGCTTCTCTTGCCAATGTGTCGTAGAAGTGTCTTTTGTCTTTGCGTCCACTCTTCTTCACTTCTTTGTCCAGTGTAGTGTTTTATACGTTGTACCCAGTTCTTCTTTTTGTTGTGCATCCTTGCACTGGTTCATCTTCTGCTTCATCATGCTACTCTCCTTTCTCTGTCAACTTCAATGTGTCCGTCTTAGTCCATTGCTTTGTTCTTACCTTTTCGTTAGGAGTACTGTTTCGCCGATTGCTTTCCACATCCCTTTCAAAGAATTCCAGTGTTTTTCTACACGCGATTCTCCAGGGATGTTGCTGAACGTCTCCCATTTTACTCTGATGACTCACGTGAAGATGTCTGTCGTAGTGTTGTCCTTCAGTTCCTGTTCTGGTTGTTTAACATGAACTGTGTTCTGTCGCCAGCTTCCGTGATGGCTTTCAACTTTATTTTGAATGTTCCTTGCACTGGATAGTGAGTGGTCTGAATCTACCCTCATATGCTCCGCTTCGTGACCTTGTGTTCAGTATGCTGCGTCTCCTTTTTCTTGAGATTGTATGAAATCGATTTGATTTTAGTGTAGTGTGTTCATCTGGTGAAGTCTGTGTCGCTTTGTGAATATGCTTGTGTTTGTACACACTGTCTCCAATCACCAGAAATCTGCAAACAGTTCTCGATTCTCATTCATTCATTTCACCGAGTGCTTCTCGACCCATGATGAGTTCTCTTTCTGTGTTGTCCGCTCCGAGTTTGTCATTCGTGTCGCTCATTAGAATTTTGATGTCGTCTACTAGAGTGGGGTCTTGTCCATTACTGATTGAAGTTGTTTATAGAATTCCTCCTTCTTCTCTTGATCTGCATTATTTGTTGGCATGTAGGATTGAATTATTGTGACTTTCCTTCGTTTTGAGTTGAATCTTGCTGTCATAATCCTGATGCTGGAGGAGACTGTTTCCCACTACATGAGAGAGAGCCTTCGATGTTCTTGGAGACATCATGATAACCACTCCAGAACTCAGTGTGCTTGTGGTTGTTGTCTGAGTGACAATATCGGAGTAGATTATTGACTCTGCAGTTGACATTTGGAGAGTCCACTTCCATTGCATCTGCTTTTGAAGATTCCAAGCACTTCCATGCCATACCTCTTCATCTCTTTTGCAATCTGTGCAGCATTGGTTGGTTCATACATGGTGCGGACATTCCATGTTCCCACGTTTACTTTCGCTTTCATTGAGAGGATAGAAGACACATCGGCCAACTGGCTTCCAGAAGGCCTTCACCAACCAGCGTCCTTTCGTCTCTTGGATTCCAGTGAGGAATAAGTTTGTTTTTCTTATTTATAATTTCTTTGTGCTTTGAAGTTTCTGTAGCAGTTGGATTGGTTTTGGGGGTTAGGGTTGCTAGCCGTATGCCCAACCTCCTCTCTTTATCCGGGTTTAGGACCGGCTAGTTACTAGTGAACTAGTTTATCATACAAGGTTTTCTGCTTATACTCATTCTGTATTATTATTTTCACTAGTTTATTTACGGAATTACTTATTTAGGCATCAGCAAATCGCTTCGCTGTTTAAATGATTCGGAACGTAGTTTTGTCATATATGAGCTTGCAGTATATGGTCAGTTTTAAGCAAATAATTCTTTCATAATAATAATAATAATGGTTGGTGGCTAGCAGTGGAATCCAGGATGCGCATTTCGTCGTATTTGGGACTCGTTAGCTGTATAGATGTACCTGCCTCTCAGTGACCGATGTCGTTCCTGCCGAGATTCGAACTCTGGACCGCTTCTAGCCACTATCCATTCTTACCATATAATTAGAAACACAGGCAATATATCGAGGCATCCGTGCAGGAGCTCATATGCCAATTGAGACCTATCGATTCGGTCCAGTCGACGACGGTATGATACAAGCAATATCACTAAATATTCCTTTTGATATACCTTTGTTTGGTGGTGCAATGTGAGACGTTACACAGTGATCCTGGGTTCCGTCTGATGTCGACTGACTAGTTGACTCAGTAACAAATCAACTGCAGTCAAATAAATACATCACGAGTAAGGATTCTAGAGGCTACACAACACTTTTTTCAGTCGCTTCTTCTAGATTAATAGATCCACGCGAACGCATCTCTGTGGTCTCTGAATACAATGAAGTGTGAATGCAACTCAAACATAAACTGACAAAAAGCCTATGCAATCATCGCGAACAGCGATGGTCAGCGAAAGCTAAAGGGGTGGAAAAGATAGCTATGACAGGTAACAGCAGGCAGTCGTTGAGACTTACTAAGGAAACTGAGGCGAAAACGTCAATGGTTAGTGAGACGATAAAGGAGAAGGATGGGTCTGCGATTCACTCGCAAGGAAGACGACTGAAACAATCGTAACACCTCAAGAAAAAGTTAAATGGGCTTCCAACTAATGTTTCATTGTTCGTTATCCAGACGGAGCCTGAATGGAACATTGGGATTAAAAATCCAACACTTGCAGAAGTCGGAAGAGCTATAGGTAGGTAACCTGTAACGAGGAAGAGCAACAGAGCCAGGCGGACTCGTCCAACAGGTATTCAAGGACGATGGTAGAGGATTATTGGTCAAAATAAATGGAGTCTTAGCTATTGTATGGGAGTCAGATATTATCCCCTCTAACTGGTCTCAAACACCGATTGTACCAGTTTTCAAGAAAGGAGAGAAGTCTTATCGTGATGACCACTGAGGAATCAATCTAACATAATGTCCAAGGTCGTCGCCTCTATAATCATTAGACGTCTGAGAGGAGCTCAGGGATAGCAAGCATGAGAAAATCAAGCAGGTTTCAGAACTGGCCGTGGATATATCGACCAGAAATTCACTCCACCGGGTTCTAGAACACGGTTTCAGGAGACCAGTGCTAAATTCTCATCAAGGGCTTAGAGCTAGAAGAAAGTAGATTTAACGTAGTATTATTCACAGAAAGATGAAGGAAAGATCAGCGGTTGAAAGTGTGGAAGGTTGATAATGATGACAGACCTTTTGACACAACAGGACCTCAAGGAACAATCCCTCCAACTAGCGTAGCCCATTGGATGTTTTTGAAATGCAAGCCCACTCACTAATTCCGTGACAGATTGTTTCTTTGACATACTAAACAAGTGATACAGTATGATTTACTGGATGGTCTTTCGGGAAGAATTTATCGCTCATATTCACATCAAACAAATCATATGACTTCCAAACTTCACTGATGTAGTTCAACCGTCACTAATTCTTCGATTTTAAAAGTAGAAAAATCTTGCAAATCTGTTCGTTATGTGGTGAATCACCAGCCCGTACAAAACCCAGTGGGAAGAAAGAACTTAGTACCAATGATATTCAAGGCTTATAAATTAGTACAGAGCATCTCCTTAGATTACAGAAACAAAACACTGACACCAACTGACAAAATCAACGCACAACCTCGCACACAGGTGCATCGGCTCACATTACCACACTTCACTACTGTATACAAAAAATGAGTGGATAGAAAAAGAGTGACATCAAAGTAGACAAAGTTGTGTGAGAGAATAAACAATTTGAAGATAGAGGTTAGTGCAAATATCCAAGCCTTAGAAGATGTCAAGGAGTGAATACCACTGCGCCACTGCAACCGATTTTCAACTATGTCACGAAGAGTTTTCAACCACGGATTCGTTTCGTCTCAGGGACCCCAGGTCTGGTAGTCTACATCTGCATACGTGGCTCACATCAATAGTTAGGGATTTCATCGACTGGTGTCATGTCTTCGTCTGGCCACCCTGAACCCTCTTCTAACCTAATCCAACTCCCCGTAACATGGCACATCGAGGCAGGTGGTGGTTCGACATGCGCAGTACATGTCCAAACCATCTCAGTCGATGAGAGTTCACAACCTCATCAATCGACTTGCCTATCTTGTCTAGTATCCTTCACCTGACCTCAACATTGCTCGCACGATGACTCCACCGAGTGCGACCAATGCTACGAAGACACTAATGATCAAAACCATGTAACCAATTCATGTCTTCTACTTTCAACGACCACTTCTCACAGCCGTACAACAAGACAGAACGAAGTGCAGTGCAGTATACATTTCCTGTAATAGGTAGTCGGATATCTCACCAGTTGGCACCACACATGACGCAAGTTAGCAAGTACTGAACGGCCCTTCTGTATCGGAACTGAGATTTCGTCAACAACCACCACATTTGCGCTGATGCAACTCCCCGAGTAAGTGAAGTGGTCGACAAATTCCACCACTTCACTCCATATCAATAAACAGGAAGTGATTGCAGCAGACCTGTCCTGGAATATCATCTTACATTTGACAAGTGCTTGTGGAACGTTTGCCAAACATACTCAGATACCTGGTCAACGCGTTGACAAGACCCTGCATTTCGTCACCGTCTTCACTCAACAGGACAATGTCCTCTGCATACTTCTAGTCAACCAGATGACATCCAGTGAGGAGGTCAACCCAGGTGAAGTCAGATGTACATAAGTTTCTGTCCATTAGTTAGTCTATGACGAAGTTAAGTAGGGACGGTGACAGCAGGAATCCCTGGCAGGCACTACTGGTTGTTGTAAACTCACATGACAACTCTCCATAAGCCCTTACAAAGCTGCATGAGTTCGAATAGAGAGCTATGATTAGTGTTATAAACTTGCCCGATTCTCTCTTCACAATCAGAATGCCACAACACCTCACGGTTGACTCAGTGAAATACCGCCGCCTTTAGGTCAATAAATACGGCAAGTATCGGTCACTGCTTGGTAGGTAAGTCTGTGTTAAATAACCTGTCGAAGGGTGAAAATATGATTAATGGACACTGGTTTCCTCAAGAGTGCAGTTTTCCAGCTCCAATTGGGCACTGGATAACTATGAAACGCAGGATCTTCGACACAATATTACTCAAACTAGTTCCGCTATGGTTGTCACAAGAAGATTTCTCCCTCTTCTCATAGACTGGGATGATCAGTGAAGCACATCAGTCTAACGGCACTACCTCTGATTTCTATAAACTACCTAGTACTTTAATTAAGATGAGTATGTGCATTGTTACCATGTTCAGATACATGGTTAACTAACTCTTCTCTGAATGTGTACTTGACCTTCTGCCAATCGACCAAATAACAGGCTTTACTATCACCTGTTTCCTGCAACCAGTAAAGTGCAGAGATACAGGAGCCTGTACTAGCGCGTGATCGCAGTCCGCACTGGTACTGCGGAAAAAGCAACAATCCTCCACCCATCCTCTCCTATGATGGCTTTTAGCAATGTGATCTATCTGTACGCATCGTTGGTTTGAGGTCGATGAACACCATGTGAGACAATGTCTCTCCTTATGCCTAATTTCGGTGCTAGTCAGAAACGAGTGGTTATCGGGACAAAATTGCCAGAGAAAATAACCGTTATCGGTTCGTTGGCATGGGATTCTGCAAATACCCCCTAAACGCTTTTCCGATTGACTCGGCTTCCCATACTTGAGCGTTAAAGTCACCTGCCATTATGACGACATCTGAACACTTTGCTTTCTATAACAGAATTGACAGCTTTTCATAGGACTCATCTTTTGCATCATCCGAACCGCAGTCGGTGAGTGCGTATGAGGAGATTCCCGAATAGGCACTGCTTAGTCTCACGATCCTTCCTAGTCCTTACAGATCCGTTCAGTCAAACAGCATATAGATGGCCGTTTACTGGTATCCAGTCGAGAAGCACACTTTCTACCCTTCAACTCAATGCTCTGCCTATACCAGAGAGTCCAAAAGAGCCTCCGGATATTCTTATGGCGAATTGTGAAGTTTCATAGCACTGGTCAGCTGAGGTCATTTTTATAACCACAGTCAGGTCTTATATATGCGTGCCTCAGAGACAAAGAACATATTCATGGCTACAGATTCCAGAGTTATGAAGGGTGATGCTTGCTGTCTGATTTGGCATAGCGTTTAAACGTTGAAAACTCCTATATTGAAATTGATGACAGGGTCTCCAGAGACTAGTTGCAATGGTCGTAGAGTGAGGTATGGTAAGGCGTAATAGGCTTAATATTAGTATTGGGAGGCAGTTGAGGTGGATAGATTGTGTTTGATCTGATCTTCTCTACTAGTTGAAGCGTGTGGTCGGTAGATACTTCCGGGCTTCCCACACTGTAGAACGCTGGTTCTTCTTCGTGTGCCTGTAAGAGGAGGATGTAGTATGTGGTTACAAAGGCCACTGGCATCTGCTTGAGACTGGTCACACATGTCCTTTTTGACAGTTTGGTTTTTCGACTTTGAATCCGACTATAAATTCCTGTGTGAAGCATCGGTAGGCGGCGGGGAATGTGGTGAGTGTGTGTTACGTTTGATGCTGACCCTTTAGAAACTTACTCCCTATTTTGAAGCAGCATCAGTATGATGCTGGTGATCATTTAAGGGGAACACGTTGCTACTTTGACATCCCATCCAACTGGGAGCATTACGACTGTAGAAATTGACAATACAACGGTAACTGCACTTCGTCTTACCATTATCCAGCAGATCTTTGTGCCATGGTAGGACGTGGGGGAACAGGCGTTCCAGCAGCATAGCTCGTCGGGTCATTGCGATATGCAAGCCCGACCATCTTGTCAAGGTAGTAGCTAGCTGTCATTGAAATCAATGACAGCATCTTGACCTGTGTTTTCATTGATGCAACAGCATAATTTAATTACCAGATTTGAAGATGAAACTAGCACAGCATTCTACTGATTGAGCTATACAGTCTTGACGCTGAGCTGGTCTAGGCTTCACTTTGGCAATAAGAGTTTTCATCGGTTGCCATGTAAATCAGTTAAGTTTACCATTGTCATATTAATTGTCCAGTAAAGTATTCATATCCTATTTCAAATTGAGTTAAATTATACGGACGAGGTGATGAATTCATTGTTAAGTTAGACTAACTGAGATGGATTTTCTTATTTTCATGTTTCCATTACTGTTTCTTTTACTTCAAAATCAATTAGAGTAACCGCTTTCAAACTCGCATGGGTTTATTACAGTTATTGTGTACTTGGTTTACTAGCTGTTCTCAAGCGATTACATATTTTTTAAATTCAACCAATTCGAGAGAATTGTCAAGCTCTTTAAACAATCCTACAGAAGCAACAAATCGTGGGTCGTATTTATCAACCCTTATTGCAGAGGTATGTGCAGTGGATAACGATGAAAATGAAGCACTAATTCGTGGATTGACTACACTTATAATTTGCATTTGTGTAATATACCACCCTGGGAATATACATGGATTTGACAAGTAACTTTTCAGTTTTTGTCAACCATTTGTTTCCTTTATTTAAATATTTTGATGATAGGCTTCTTCGTTTTCAAGTTCATATAGATATTCTTTTTTTTGTAGCTAATCTATAGTGATAAATCCTAGGCTTTCGACTAAAGAAAATCATCGATAGTACTCATATGTGCTGTTCGTTAAAGGCATGGGATGAATCATGCTTTGGTGTTTTCTCTTGGTTTATTCATCAACCCTCTGTTGGCTGACTTATACAGTGAATATATTCCACGGAAAATTATCAAGCCTTCTGCTTATAACGAAGCGTTAAGATGTAGTCACCTAAAAATACGACTATTATGTAGAAGGACATGAAGCCACACATAGACGGTATCATCTAGTTTTAGTACTTTATGTGAATATTGTGGCAAAAAATTGAAAATTGTTTCCTGACGTCGAATTTTCCTTAAGAATATCAAAAGTCAAGAAATGTGTTTATTCGTATTTGTAGATAAAAGTATGATGTCGATTTAAAAAATTTACCAACTTTTTATTTCAATCTTATGCGCAAACTGAGTTTTTTGGTTTCAGCAAATGGTTTGAAAAATGTGCAAGAGTCCGTCATTAAAACATATTTATTTTCTCTGTGTCTAACCTTGCATTTTGAGCAAGATATTCTGTATCGACTTAGTTTGAATCTCATCATTGTTTTATTATTTCGTTTTGATATTTAATTCCACTTGTTGATCTTTGTATGCATATGCATAAGCATGGGTATGTATGTATTGTTATCACAACTACGCACCCCATCAAACTTCATCATAAGCACCCGAAAACCTATGGTAGATAATGAATTTCCAAGTTATTCAAACACAATATTTCATAGGTGTCAATTTGTACACTTATAACTTGGTGTTGTTCAGTAGTAGTAGCAGTAGTAGTAATAATAGGGATAATGATAATAATGGTACTTGTAGTAATAATAGTGATATTAGCGATAATGGTAGTAATAATAAAGTTAGTGATAATGGTTGTGGTGGGAATAATAATAATAATAATAACAGTAGTAACAATAATAATAATTATAACAATAGTAGTAGTAGCAACAACAATAATAATAATTGCGATAATAATAAGAATAATAGTTAGTGACCTTATCTACGTCTGTCAACTGCTATTCGGTTTTTTGAAAAGGCACAGCAAATGGACATGTATCCTAAAATGCGCTATTAAGAGTTATTAGGAAATCTTGTTAGGTGGATCATTTTAAGTTAGCAACCTTCTTATGTACTGACGCAGCTGGTGTAACTGGTATTCAATTTTGAGTCAGTTCTCTCGTTCGATTTCGAATTAGATTG